TGTTGTTTGGCTTGGTTTGCTTCCCGTTGCCCTGTCTTCCAGATCACTGATCTGTTCTTTTGCATCCTCTAGTTTTTTGATTCCCTCTAATGTTTTTTTCTTTCTTTTTTTAATCTCAGCAGTTGAGTTCTTTAAGATTTTATTTATTTATCTATTTGACAGAGAGAGAGAGTGCACGCACACAAGCAGAGGGAGAAGGAGAAGCAAGCTCCCCATTGGGCAAGGAGCCCGATGTGGGACTTGATCCCAGGACACTGGGATCATGACCTAAGCCAAAGGCAGATGCCCAGTGACTGAGCTACCCAGGTGTCCCTGACTGGTTCTTTTTCTATACATTTCTGTGTTGAAGTTCTGACTTCATCCACTCTGTTGTCAAATCCAGTGACTGTCTTTATGACCACTACTTTGATTTGAATTCTCTATCAGGCATATTTGCTTATCTTAATTTCATTGAACTCTTTTGATGTGATTTGTCTTGTTCCTTCACTTGGGACATATTTCTCCATCTTCTCATTTTGTCTGACTCTCTGTTTATGTCCCTATATTAGGGAGGTCAGCTGTGTCTCCTTGTCTTAAAACTAGTGCCTTCTGTAGAAGAGATCCTGTGGTACCCTGTAAGTCCTTCCTTGGTCACCAGAAACAGGTGCTCCAGGGGTGTCTCCTCTGCATGCTGTGTGTGCCCTAATGTGGCTGAACTGCATTTGTCTTCAGTCCAGCCAACTGCAATGACCTGATTTGCCTGCTTTGGGCAAACAAGGAAGAATTTGTGCAATTGAGAAGTCTGTTTGAGGCCTCTGCAATCTCGTAGGTGGGTGGGGTCAGCAGTCAGGGTGTCTGAACTTAGCCTGTCTACCACAGCTGTGGGATACCAAACAGCAAACTTTACTTTTTGCTCAGCCAGTGAAGAGGCTTTGATGCTAGAACTGTGGGCATTCTGGTGTGTGGGATTATCTTCCCCTCTCCCCAGGGCAGGCATCACTTTTGAGTGGTGCTGGTCCCTGCCGGGGCTGCTTGCAAGTAATGGTGGGGGCAGGAACCACTTTGGTGGGATGCTTGTCAATGCAGGAGGGTTCGATGGGCAGATCTGCATGTAAATAGTGCTAGCAAGATAGGTAGAGAGTGTTATGCTGGCTCCTGCAAGTGTCCAGCTATCTAGGATCAGGGAGGGGAAGAGAAGTGGCAGCCACCAGTATTTTTGTTTCTAGAGAAGTCTCCTGATGATCCCTACCCCTCTAGCGTATGTTCTGAAATTACTAAGTAGATCTCCTTCATGTATACCCCAGGCACTTTTCAAACTGCTACTATTGTGCTATGTTTCTGGCTGAGTTATTTGTTATTCTGGCTTTTTAAAGGCAGGACTCTGTTTCCTGTTATTGTCTGACTCTCCTGGAGTTAAGCCCAGCTAATTTTTAAAGTATGTGGAGTTAAGTTTTGCTGATACCAAAAGCTCCTGAAGTTAAGGCCCATTGGTTTTCAAGGCCAGATGTTATGGGGACTCATCTTCACAGTGCATTTCCCAGTGTCTTGGGTGCCTGGTATGAGGTTTAATCCTCTCCTTTCTCTTTGCTTGTAGTGTAAGTCCTGTTTGTGGTTAATCTCACCCAGTGTTTTGGTTCCCAACTGTGTCTCCACGGCTCCTACCCTTTTTGATGTGACCGCCCGTCTATGATTAACTTTGGAAGGTCTTTTCTGCCAGTCTTCAGATCATTTTCAGAGCTAGTTACATAAATGTAGCTATAATCTCAGAGATGTGTCCATGGGGGAAGGTGAGCTTGGGATCAACCTACTCTATCTTCCCTGAACTATTTGATTCTTAGTTTTCGTCTCTGCTGATAATTTCCCACCTGATCCACATATGATGGCTGTCTTTCCATTAGATCCTTTAATGTTTTAATCATAGTAATTTTATATTCCTTGTCTAATTATTTATATATCTGTTTCGTATTGGAGTCTGCTTCTGTTGACTATTTTGCCTCTTGACAGTTATTTTTTTCTTGCTTTTTTATATGCCTTATACTTTTTGTTGAACATGGGTTATCTTGTGTAGTGATAATAGTGTTTATGTCTGGAACTGGGCTTGCCTTTCTGCTAAATCTTCAGTTTGAAGTAATGTTTTATATGTTTGAAAGAAACAGTAAGTTACCTATATATAAGGGAAGCTATCATAAGCTCTGTGGAGTTAAATGTATCCTAATTTATTTGCCATTATCTTTTTATAACCTTCTTTGTAATTACTTTTGGGGGTCTTATTCTATATAAGGCATTCTCTATAATTTTTAAAACATGCTTTTAGGGAATGAACTGAACTTATCCCCGTTTTACAAATGGAAACTTAAGTAAAATTAAACACCTATCAAATAGTAGAATGGGAACTTGATTCTCCAGGTGTCTGATTTCATATCTTATGTCCTTAACTATTACCCTGTTTAGATTCATCATTTGACTTCACCTAAAAAAAAGGATTGGGTATCACTTATATTGAAGGCCCTGTGATATGTGCTATGGAGAGACAACATGATCAATATGATATCTGCATTTAATAAAATGTTAGGGGTGCCTGGGTGGCTCAGTCAGTTAAATGTCTGACTCTTGGTTTCAGTTCAGGTCATGATCTCATGGGTCATGAGATAGAGCCCCTTGTTGGGCTCTGAGCTTAGTGGGGAGTCTGTTTAAAGATTCTCTCCCTCTGCGCCGCCCCCCCCCCCCGCACTTGTGCCTGGTGCCTTGCACTGTCTTGTGCTCTGTAAAATCTTTTTAAAAATAATAAAATGAAATGCTAATATTCTAAGAATAGACCTTAAAGTATCCCTTTTCACTACACAATTGAAATAGTAGAAATATGCAGTAATCTTATTTATAAATGATACTTAGTTTATACGTGTTAGAGAAACCTTTGGTTGCTGTGATGATTCATAACCATTTTAAGTGGTCCAGCCATCCTCATGAGGAGGATCATCATTGGCTTATTTCCCAGGCCATTACTTATTCAGAACTCATGAGTGATATAGTCCAAAAGATACTGTACAAAGATAAACTGGATTGTGGAGCACAGTATGGAGATAGACATTTGGAAATGATAATTTGATACGATACAAAGCTGAAAGAAAGTAATAATGAGGAACAAAGAACATTCTTCTCAAACCTTAGAGGATAACTTCAGTGAGGATAAGGAGGAAGAAAAATCAGTAGATAAGAATGAAATGGTTAGGGTATTAGGAGAATCAACAATATAGCAATGCTGTCCAATAGAAATTTCTGTGATAATGATAATGTTCTTTATCTGTGTTATTCAATACAGTAGAAAATACTAGTCACTTTAAAGCTAGAGAATTTCCCGAGCACCGTCAAAATGGGACTTAATCCACTGGTTTTGATGGTTGGTTTACTTCTGTCAATTATGTTTTGGGAAATCTGACTTTCTTGCTCATTTACTTCTCCTCTTCATGTTTTTGCCTCAATTTGGACAGGTAATTCCTTACTGTCCAGCTCTTTGGCTTTAAGAAGTTTTTTGTAATCCATATTTTATTTAATAATTTTTTTCATGGAAATGTTGGCCTATGTAACCTAATCTATTACTAGAAACAGTAATCTTTTGTTTTGAATTTCATGGAAGAATGGTATACTTACAATTTTTCTAGGCTTCATGGCATAATCTTTCTTTTATATGTTCCTCCTTTACTATTTTGTGTCAACTTTTTTTTTTATTTTTTTGTAGCATTTTTTTCATAAGTTCCATGTTGAGAATTTTTTTTTACTGTGACTCTTGATTGGTACTGTTCTTTTTATAAGCTAGGCTAGTAGGTAGCTTAGATGTTTGATCAATTGTTTCCAGACACTTTTCTTACCAGCACTTTTCTGTATATAATATACTCCCTTCATGGCTAGTCATAAGCTTCCCTAAAGCACTTCATGTATTATAGATTACTTTTTTCTACCTCTTGTGTTCTTATTGCTATTCTTATTTTCAGAGTGGATAGAAGACATAGACATCTTTTTTTTTTTTTCTGTAAACTGTAAGGAAAGTTCTCTTGTTTTTCTAGATGGGGCTGCTCTGTACATGGCAGGTCTACTATAAAGTCATATAATTTAGTTCTCTGCCAGTTTCTAACCTTGTAGTTCCTATATTTCCACATGCTTCTCTTTTGGTACCATCGCATTTCTCTCCATGCCCTAAATAGCATGTTGGTTGATTTAGAAATAAGTAGCATTTTTCTAATGGCCTTTCTTACAGGGAGAAATTAATTTTTTTTCTTGAATCTTCTTAATTGCCCCAAATTAGAAGCATCCATGGTATCGTCCAGTAGGTGAATGGATAGACTGTAGTATATCCATGCAATGAGTTATCATGCGGCAGTAAAAAGAATGATCTATAAATCCACAAAAAGACATAAATGAACCTTAATTATGTATTGCTAAGTGTAAGAAGCCAGTCTGAAAAAGTTACTGTTATGATTCCACCTATTAGCATTGTGGAAAAGACAAAACAATAGAGATACTGAAAAGATCAGTTATTATCCAGGGAATTAAGGGAGTGAGGGAGGAGGGATGAATAGATGGATGTCAGAGGGTTCTGAGGTCTGTAAAACTATTCTGCATGATACTGTAATGGTGGGCAGATATGCTTATGTCAGAAGCCATACAACTGTACACCACATTCTTATTATAACAAGAACCATATGTGGGTTGGGGAGTGGGTTTGTAAGAGGAGAATATATGGAAACTGTACTTCCTGTGCAATTTTTCTGTAAACCTAATCTGGAAAGTAAAACCTATAACTAAAATATATTCATACTTGATAAAGAGTTCATAAATAGACTAAAGTAATTAAATAACTAGGTAGTATCTAACAGCAACAGTAACAAAACAGCAACTTATATGAGAATGTGTTTCTTTTCTGTTGTTAATTTGGTCTTTATTCCGCCTTCTTAAATTTTTTTTTTAGAATTCCTCCAGTCATTCTTGTTTCTGTATTTATTTTTCTTTTTGGTCTTTTCTATTAGGTGTACTAGCCCTATCTTGGTACCCACCTGGTACAAATGATGAGAATGGAGAAAATACTGATGACTTGGTACCGACTATTTTGGATAAAGCTCATAAATATAATCTGAAGGTATTTAATTTTATTTTTTTTGGAGATATCATCGATATTAGTATCAGGTGTTCAACATAATGATTTGGTGTGTTTATTTTGTGAAATGATCATCACAGTAAGTCTAGCTAACATTCATTACACAATTACAAATTTTTGTGTGTGTGAAGAATTTTTAAGATCTGTTCTCTTAGTGGCTTTCAAATGTATCATACAATGTTAACTGTAGTCACTATGCTGTACATTATATACCTAGGTCTTTTTTATTTTATGACTGGAAGTTTGTACCTTTTAACCATCTTCACCCATTTCACCCCCTCCCCACCCCCACCTCAGACAACCATACATCTGTTATCTGTGTCAATGAGGTGTTTTAGGATATTTGTCTCTGTCTGACAGACTTATTTCACGTAGCATAATGTCCTCAAGGTCCATCTATGTTGTAGCAAATGGCGAAATTTCCTTCTTTTTGTGGCAGAATAATATTTGCCTTTATATATACACCACATTTTCTTTCTCCACCCATCCATTAATGGACATTTAGGTTATTTCCATTTCTTGGTTATTGTAAACACAGGCACACCTCATTTTGTTGCGCTTAGATTTTGTGCTTTGTAGATACTACACTTTTTTTAAAAAATTGAAGTCTTGGGGCAACCCTGCATATAGCAAATATATTTTCCAACAGCTTTTGCTTCATGTTCTGTGTCACGTTTTGGTAATTCTTACAATATTTCAAATTTTTTCATTATATTTGTTAAGGTGATCGGTGATGAGTGATTATGACTTGCTGAAAGATCAAATAATGGCTAGCATTTTTTAGCAATAAAGTATTTTTTAGTTAAGACACATACATTGTTTTTTAGACATAATGCTATTGCAAACTTAACAGACTACAGTGTAGTATAAGCTGAACTTTTTTATGCACCGGGAAGCCAAAAAATCCATTTGACTCCTTTTTTGCAATATTCATTTTATAGTGATGGTCTGGAACCGAACCTGTAATGTCTCTGAGGTATGCATGTAATTGTGCAGTAAGCATCACTATTTTTTCAAACTTGTTTTTGTTTCCTTTGGATAAATACCAGAAAGGGAATTGCTGGATCATATGGTAGTTTTATTTTTAATATTTTAAAGTACTTCCATAGTGTGTTCCATAGTTGCCGCATCAATTTATATTCCCACCAACAGTGCACAACGGTTCCCTTTTCTCCCCAACCTCTCCAACACTTGTTATTTCTTAAAGATTGATTTATTTTGGAGAGAGAGAGGGTATGTGCATCCATGAACAGGGCTAGGGGCAGAGGGAGAGAAAGAGCATCTCAAGCAGACTCCATGTTGAGCACAGAGCCTGATACAGGACTCAATCCCATGACCCTGAGATCATGACCTGGCCAAAACCAAGTGTTGGATGCTCAACTGACTGAACCATCCAGGTCCTCCCAACATTGGTTATTTCTTGTCTTTTTGATAATAGCCATACTAACAGGAGTGAGGTGTATCTCACTGTGGTTTGATTTGCATTTCCCTGATAATTAGTGAGGATGAGCACCTTTTCAGGTACCTGTTGGCCATCCAGATATCATCTTAGGAAAATTATTCAGAACTTCTGCCCCTTTTTTAATTGGATTGTATGCTTTTTAAAATTGATTTTGGATATTAACTCCTTATCAGATATATGATATGCAAATATTTTCTCCCATTTGCTAGGTTGCCTTTCACTTTGTTGTGCAGAAGCCTCTTAGTTTGATGTAGTCCCACTTATTTTTGCTTTTGTTGCCTTTGCCTTATGATGTCAAATCCAAAATATCATCGCTAAGACCTTTGTCAAGGAGCTTCTCACCTATGTTGTCTTCCAAAAGTTTTATACTTTCTAGACTTATGTTTAAGATTTTAATCCATTTTGAGTTAATTTTGTATATGGTGTAATTTAGTGGTTCAGTTTCATTTTTTTTGCATGTAGCTCTCCAGGTTTCCAAACACGATTTATTGAAGAGACTGGCCTTTCTCCATTGTGTATTCTTGGCTCTGTTGTTGAAGATTAATTGACGATATCTGCATGGAATTTTCTGGGAGGGAGGGAGGCTTTCTATTTTGTGTGTTCCATTGATCTGTGTCTGGTTTTGTTTTTTTTGTTTGTGTTTTTCCGAGTACCATACTGTTTTGATTACCATAGCTTTTTTTTTTATTTTAAAGATTTTTATTTATTTGACAGAGAGAGAGAGATAGAGCAGGAACACAAGCAGGGGGAGTGGGAGAGGGAGAAGCAGGCTTCCTGCCGAGCAGGGAGCCCAGTGCGGGGCTCGATCCCAGGATACTGGGATCATGACCTGAGCCAAAGGCAGACGCTTAATGACTGAGCTACCCAGGCACCCCAATTACTGTAGCTTTATAATATAATTTGAAATTAGGGACCTCGATGCTTCCAGGTTTGTTTTTCTTTCTTAAGATTGCTTTGGTTCTCTCTTGTGGTTCCATACACATTTTAGGAATATTTGTTCCATTTCTGTTGACAATGTCATTGGAATATTCATAGGGATTGTACTGAATCTATACATTGCTTTGTGTAGCATGGACATTTTAACAATATTAGTTCTTTTAGTTCATGAGCATGGAATATCTTTCCATTCGTGTTTTCTTCACTTTGTTTTCATTAATGTCTTATGCTTGTCAGTGTCCAGATCTTTCACCTTCTTAGTAAAATTTATTCTGGTATTATTTTTGATGCAGTTGTAAATGGATTTTCTTGATTTCTGTTAGCTCATTATTAGTGAATAGAAATACCAACATTTTCATATACTGATTTTGTATTCTATGACTTTACTAAATTTCGTATTCTGCAACTTTACTAAATTAGAATAAAACAATAAATTGTTTATTCTAACAGTTTTTTGATGAAGTTTTAGACTTTTCTATGTCATCTGTAAATAATGACAGTTTTGTTTCTTCCTTTCTAATTTGTATTCCTTTCATTTCTTTTTCTTGCATTGTTACTCTGGCTGGGAATTCCAATATTATGTTGAATAAAGTGATGAGTATAGGCATCCTTATCTTATTCGTGATCTTAGAGGAAAATACATTCAGTATTTCTCCATTGGGTATGATGTTAGCTGGGGGCTTGTCATATAGCTTTTACTATGTTGAGGTACATTTCCTCTATACCCACTTTATTGATAGTTTTATCATAAATGGATGTTGAATCTTGTTGAATGCTTTTTTTTCTCCATCTATTGAGATGATACATTTTTTTTTGTTAACATATAATGTATTACTTGTTTTAGGGATATAGGTCTGTGATTCATCAGTCTCACAAAATACACAGCACTCATCACAACACATACCCTTCCCAGTGTCCATCACCCAGCCACCCCATCCCTCCCACCCCCTCCATTCCAGCAACCCTAAGTTTGTTTCCTGAGATTAAGAGTCTCTTATGGTTTGTCTCCCTCTCTGGTTTCTTCTTGTTTCATTTTTCCTCTCTTCCGCTATGATCCTCTGCCTTGTTTCTCAAATTCCACATATTAGTGAGATCTTATGATAATTGTCTTTCTCTGATTGACTTATTTCGCTTAGCATAATACCCTCTAGTTCCATCCACGTCATTACAAATGGCAAGATTTCATTTTTTGGTGGCTGCATAATATTCCATTGTGTGTGTGTGTGTATGTATATATATATATACACCACATCTTCTTTATCCACTCATCTGTCCATGGACATCTGGGCTCTTTCCATAGTTTGGCTATTGTGGACATTGCTGCAATAAGCATTGGGGTGCAGGTGGCCCTTCAGATCCCTACATTTGTATCTCTGGGGTAAATACTATTTTTAACTTTTTGAGGAACCTCCATACTGTTTTCCAGAGTTCCTGCACCAGCTTGCATTCCCACCAAGAGTGTGTGAGGGTTCCCCTTTCTCTGCATCCTCGCCAACATCTGTCATTTCCTGACATGTTAATTTTAGCCATTCTGGCTGGTGTGAGGTGGTATCTCATTGTGGTTTTGATTTGTATTTCCCTGATGCCAAGCCATGTTGAGCACTTTTTCATGTGTCTGTTGGCCATTTGGATGTCTTCCTTGGAGAAATGTCTGTTCATGTCTTCTGCCCATTTCTTGATTGGACTATTTGTTCTTTGGGTGTTGAGTTTGATAAGTTCTTTATAGATTCTTTATAGATTTTGGATACTAGCCCTTTATCTGATATGTCATTTGCAAATATCTTCTCCTATTCTGTCGGTTGTCTTTTGGTTTTGTTGCTGTTTCCTTTGTTGTGCTAAAGCTTTTTATCGTGATGAAGTCCCAGCAGTTCATTTTTCCCCTTGCTTCCCTTGCCTTGGGCCATGTGTCTAGGAAGAAGTTTCTGTGGCGAGGTCGAAGAGGTTGCTGCTATGTTCTCCTTAGGGATTTTGATGAATTCCTGTCTCACATTTAGGTCTTTCATCCATTTTGAGTCTACTTCTGTGTGTGGTATAAGGAAATGGTCCAATTTCATTCTTCTGCATGTGGCTGTCCAATTTTCCCAACACCATTTGTTGAAGAGACTTTTTTCCATTGGACATTCTTTCCTGCTTTGTCGAAGATTAGTTGACCATAGAGTTGAGGGTCCATTTCTGGGCTCTCTATTCTGTTCCATTGATCTATGTGTCTGTTTTTGTGCCAGTACCATACTGTCTTAATGATTATAGCTTTGTAATAGAGCTTGAAGTCTGGAATTGTGATGCCACCAGCTTTGGTTTTCTTTTTCAACATTCCCCTTTTATTCTTAATTAATGTTGCATTTCACATTGACTGATTTGCTGATGTCAAACCATTCTTTCATTCCTGGAATAAATCCCATTTAATCATGGTGTATGATCTTTTTAATGTATTGTTGAATTCAGTTTATTAATATAAGGTTTTTGCTTCTATGTCCTCATGATTGTGGATTGCTGCACTGATAGTGGGGTTTATGGTTAGATTGTGTCTCAGCCTGTCCTATCCATTTCAACATGGGTTTTTTTTCTTGTTAGCCTGATGTATAGA